CCGCCGGGGGCTCCGGTTCCGGTTCGGGCGACAGACCCAAGGACAAATGGAGCAACTTCGACCCGACGGGGCTGGAGCGCGCGGCGCAGGCGGCCAAAGAGCTGGACCGATCGCGTGAGTATCATTCACTGCCCGGATGTCGCGATCATGTGAAGGGCACGGGGTCAGAGGTCAGTTCTGGTGATGTGTGACCCCTCAGAGGACCTCAGATGATGCCAACCCTGAAACAACATACAGAACTACCACATTTTGCTATATGCTTGATTGCATCATATAATAATTGCTGTTAATAGTGTTCATCGTCTGTTTGATTACGTCTTTAATTGATTTTTCCGTACATTTCTGCCATATGTACATTAACTGACAGTCACCACTGATAAGCTACCACTAAATATTGTAAAAACATATATTGTACAGCTGCTTTGCAACGATCTGTATCATAAAAGGCTCTCTACAAATAAACATGAATTGAATTGACCTGACCCCTGTGACCGCAGGTCACGCCAAAGATGCGCTGGATCTGGCGCGCATGCAGGAGCAGACCGTTCAGCTGGAGCACCAGACCAGAATCAAGGTAAGATCCGGATGACACCGAGTCCAGATCGCCACACCGAGTCCTGATCACGACACCGATTCCAGATCGCCACACTGAGTCCAGATAAAAATATTTATTTTGAAAATTTATAATAACAATAATAATATTAATAAATGTTTTCAGGACTCCGTAAGAATGAATCAAATATTTTTATATTTTTTATATATTTTATTTATTTTTAGATAGAAATGCTTACAAAATATTTATAAATCTCCCTGATAAAAAGTGTTTTCATGATACCACAAAAATATGTTCATGTTTATATGTAACAACATTGTTAATATTTGTTTATATTTTATTTTTAGGTAAAAATTCTGTTTTATTTTGCAGTTGTGAGTTTATATCTTGCATTTCCATTTTTTCTGCCACAGAATAAAAAATAAAAAGGCAATTGTGACTTTATTTCACAATTCAGACTTTTTTCTTTTAATTGCGAGAAAATAGTCAGAATAGTGAGAAAGACAGAAATCAGATTGTTTGCATCTCGCTGTTTTGACTTTTTGCAATTTTTTATCTCACAGAGTCTGAATTATGAGATAAAGTTGTTATTACCTGTTTTATTGTTTTATCTTGCGGCGGAAAGGGCTTTATGCAGTTAAGCTGCATGTCCAAAAAAAAAAAAAAAGTACTCTTCATGCAAAAGTTGTACTTCAGTACAAAATAGGATTGTAGTATTGTAGAATTATATATAATGAATATATAATGGTTTGATTTACAGCACCTTCATAAATGAATAGAAACAGCCACAAACACACCAGATGCACATTATTTATTCTTCATTTTGTACTATAGAATTAAAACTCTTATTTCATTTTATGCTGAGAAGGTTACACTTCTACACTGTTTTGCGTGCGTGTGTTGCATGTGTGTGTGTGTTGCGTGTGTCAGGAGTACGAGGCAGCGGTGGAGCAGCTGAAGGGCGATCAGATCCGCATCCAGGCAGATGAGCGCAGGAAGACTCTGAACGAGGAGACCAAACAGCACCAGTCGGTGAGTCGTGCTTCTGAGTGCATGATGATGATGGTGATGGTGATGATGAAGGTGATTCTTTCATCCGCAGAGGGCGCAGTATCAGGACAAGCTGGCACGGCAGCGGTATGACGAGCAGCTCCGGCAGCAGGTGCGTTTCTTCAGACTCTCTTAGATTCTTAGACTCTCCAACTCCTCTCAGACTCCTCTCAGACTTTCTTAGATTCTCAGACTGCTCTCAGACCTTCAAACTCCTCTGACTCCTCTCAGAAGCCGTGCCGTACTGAGCCGTACCGAGCCGAGTCGTACCACGCAGTGGAAAAGCGCCATTAGATTCCCAGACTTCTCTCAGACTCTCCAACTCCCCACAGACTCCTCTCTGACTGTCAGACTCTCCTCAGACTCTCTTAGATTCTCAGACTCCTCACAGACTCTCCAACTCCTCTCTGACTCCCAGACTCTCCTCAGACTCCTCTCAGACTCTCTTAGATTCTCAGACTCCTCTCTGACTCTCCTCAGACTCCTCACAGACTCTCCAACTCCTCTCAGACTCCTCTCTGACTCTCAGACTGCCCTCAGACTCTCGTAGATTCTCAGACTCATCTCAGACTCTCCAACTCCTCTCAGACTCTGACTCTCCTCAGACTCCTCTCAGACTTTCATAGATTCTTAGACTCCTCTCAGACTCTCCAACTCCTCTCAGACTCCTCTGACTCTCAGACGCTCCAACTCCTCTCAGACTCCTCTCTGACTCCGACTCTCCTCAGACTTCTCTCAGATTTTCTTCGATTCTCAGACTCCTCTCAGACTTTCAAACTCCTCTCAGACTTTCTTAGATTCTCAGACTCCTCTCAGACTCTCCTCAGACTCCTCTCAGACTTTTAAACTCCTCTCAGACTCCTCTCAGACTTTCAAACTCCTCTTAGACTGTACTCG